TATTACTTTATTTGTTTAATTTTAGTAAATATAATTTTTATTTGAAATATTTGTGTTAGCCTGATCACACTTTTTTACTTACTTTTTTCAATTAAGTTTAGTGTCATAAATTTTTTATTTGAAATATTTAAAATTAATTAATTATTTTTTAAATATTATTTAATATATTTATTTTTATTTTATTTTTTGATATATTTAAATTCCTTCCTATTTAATTTAAAATTCAAACTTAAAATCATTAATTTGAAATTTTAACTCTTAATCATTGAATCATTTCATAGGTTTATTTTAAAAATAATTATAATATATATTAATTTAAAAGTTTATTTAAATAATATTTAATTAAAAATAAATATAAAATTTTATTTTATAAATTTTTACATTTTTATTTTATTTAAATGAACGGAGACTACTTACGATGAAAAACATACTTGCTGATTTATCCTAATATCGTGGGAGGCGTCAACATCAATTACATGGAAAAATTTTTATACAAGAGCCAACCACCTTAATGAACCAGAGATTAAGCTTCAAACTATGGCTTCCAAACTCCTCTTTCTCCTCTGCTTCCTCATTCTCCCCCCCAAACTGAGCTGCTCCTCAAACCCACAAACATGGGTAAGAGCCGGTTACTGGAATGCCAATGCCAAAGCCGAACTCTCCGTCTCCGATATAAAATCTGCTCTTTTCACTCACCTTATATGCTCTTTCGCTTTTGTAGATTCAACCACTTTCCTGCTTAAAATCAATTCCTCAGATGATCCATCCTTCTCAACCTTCTCTGGCATTGTAAGGAGAAGAAATCCTTCAATCACAACACTTCTATCCATTTGGGTCGGCAAGAATGAGGCTCCAACCTTCGCTGGGTTGGTAGATCGATCTTCCAAACGAAAGGCTTTCATCGATTCTTCGATAAAAACAGCTAGGGATTATGGGTTTGATGGGTTTGATCTTTGTGGGGTTATGCCGGGGTCAAGCACCAACATGACCAATTTGGGAACCCTTTTGGCGGAATGGCGGGAAGCTGTAGCTTCCGAGTCGAGAAACTCCGGTAAGTCACCGTTGCTTCTGGTAATGTCCAGTCATCGAGTGCCGCGGCTTGACTCAGTGAGTTACCCAATTGAGTCCATGAATAGCAACTTGGATTGGGTACATATTAATGCATATGATTACTATGTACCCACTGTGGATAATTTTACAGCTGCTCATGCTGCTTTGTATGCCCCACCGGGGACGGCTAATACCGACGAGGGTATAAGGGAATGGTTGAACAGTGGAATTTCTGCTTCAAAGCTGGTTTTGGGTTTGCCTTACCATGGCTATGCATGGGAACTTGCAGACCCTGGTCATGACAGTGGTTTTGGTTCACCAGCTTCAGGACCTGCTATCACAATGGATGGCTCCATAGGCTATAAGATAATCAAATCGGTTGGAGTAAATCCAGTGTATAATTCTACTTATGTGGTGAGTTACTACAAAGTTGGATCAAATTGGATCAATTTTGATGATGTGGAAGCTATTAAAGCTAAGGTTTCTTACGCCAAGGCAAAAGGGCTACTTGGTTACTGCGTGTTTCAACTTGCAAATGATTACAATTGGGTGCTTTCTCAAGCCGCAGGTAAGTGAATTTATCTATAAACATACTCCTAATTCCGCGCCCTTTTGAGTGATCTCTTATTTTTTTTTCCCCTTTCCGAAGGAAATCAGGCCTGAGCTTAATCCAGATTGATAATACAATCTTTAACTAGGTCGACATTTTTCTGAACGTTTTTTGGATTGTTGCACTGATCATGGTGAAGAACATTATTACAATTTGGATGTGTTCTTATTTCTTATTGTTATGTTGATTTCAGAATGTTAAAGAAGTTTATCCCTATGAGATGTTGTAACTGACATAATAAAGATTGTTTGCAGCTCAAGGAAGTCACAGAGATCAGTTTATCAAAAAGCATTTATTGGTAATTATCCTGGTTATTGTTGTCATAGTAATTTTACTGACGGGAGCATTCCTCTATTACCTGGAGATGAGAATATTCAAGTTTAAAGGTAATGTCTTGGAGGCATGAAAATTTTCTATTAATTTTATTAAAGTCAAGTTAATTACTAGTATTTATCACCGCTGACTGTTGTTTCTTCTCTGGTTTCAGGAATCATGTTTGTTGTGAAAAAGACACTTTCTAAGTTAGGAGACAAAATATCAGCTGATGCTGATGTGGACAACGGTCATAATTCTCCCAATCTTCAAGTATTCAGTTTTGCTAGCATTAAAGCAGCTACAAATGACTTCTCAAGTAAGAATAAGCTTGGGGAGGGTGGATTTGGACCTGTGTACAAGGTAATACCTGACTAAAGTTCCATAGGAGTATATATAAAGAAGATGAATATTGGCAAACTATCTTTGTGTATACTTTTTCTTTTAAAAAAATGGAGAGATTGGTAGAAGTTTACTTGGTAACATTTTGATTTAAACATGCTGACATAAAATGACACAACCTGTACCATTTTAGATGTCCTGGAGTTTCAGAATCCCGCACGCATCCTTTTTCGAACCTTGCTTTCAATCAACATCTGTGTTCTAAAAGACTTATTCACCTCATTTGTGGATTTTGGTTAAAATTCCAATACAGGTTTAACTCCAATACAAGAATCTAATGACTAGCTATCCTTAATTGCTTTATGTCTTGTTTTTAAACCCCAACCCCCCCCCCCCCCCAAAAAAAAAAAAAAATGTAACGATAAAACCTAATGGCTATCCAAGAAGCAAATTGTCCAATCTGATGAAATTTTTCTTAAACTAGGAAGTTAATTGTGTATATTTAATGTTTCCTGGTTGAAAATGTCAATTAGCAGAAGATACTAAATATACTAAGGGCCGTGGCAGGGTAAATTACCAAATGAGCAGGACATAGCAGTGAAGAGACTGTCAAAAACTTCTAATCAGGGACTTGAGGAGTTCAAAAATGAGGTGACACTTACTGCAGGGCTTCAACATGTGAATCTGGTCCGAGTTCTAGGAATTTGCACTGAGAGGGAAGAGAAGATGCTGGTTTATGAGTACATGCCAAATGGAAGCTTGGATTTCTATCTCTTTGGTATGCAATACTTTATTAGTTTTCATAGTACATTTTTCAGGTGGATTCAGTTGCTTCTTGCATATGATTCCACATACTGGAATGTGTGTATGTGTGTGTGTGTGTTTTTTTTTTTTTTGGCCAGCACATATTGGAGGTTCAATTGGGACAAATTAATCTAAAAAGAATGTAACCAGATGCCACGCTTGCGTCTCAAACGTGAGGAAGTTGACTAACAAAATGCATGCTTTCAGGGATTCTAAAATTCATTCTGTTGAATTGTTCTCAGATTTTTAATCAGGAAATGATAAACTATGTTTCCATCTAATTTGATAATAGATCCAGCCAGAAGGAATCTCTTAGATTGGAAGAAACGTGTCCAAATTATTGAAGGGGTTACACAAGGGCTTCTATATCTCCAAGAATACTCAAATTTCACGATAATTCATCGTGACCTTAAGGCTAGCAACATTTTATTGGATGGCAACATGAATTCTAAGATATCAGATTTTGGTGTTGCTAGACTTTTCAGAAAAGATGTTCTTGAAGCAAATACAAGTCGAATTGTTGGCACATAGTAAGTGAACCAGTGGCTAATAAACTTATCTCACAATTTTCTTTTGGGATTAGATACATGTAATCGTTCTTCATTTATTCCATGCAGTGGTTTTGTTCCTCCAGAGTATGTCAAGAGAGGAATATACTCCATGAAGTATGATGTGTATAGTTTTGGAGTACTGCTTCTGCAAATCATAAGTGGCAAGAGGACTAGCAATTATTATGGATGCAATGAAAACTTGAACCTTCTAGAATATGTAAGTTACTTTCACAAACCTTTTCTCTCTTTTTTCATTAGCTGTATGGTGTTGATTTCATTGACATCTTTTTCTATATATTGAAATACAAATATGTATGACGTCGAATGATTTCAGGCATATGAATTGTGGAAAGAAGGTCAAGGATTAGAGTTTTTTGACCCATCATTGGATGACTCGTTCTCATCTTGTAAGCTCATGAGATGCATGCAAGTAGCATTGTTATGTGTCCAAGAAAATTCAGCAGATAGACCATCCATGTTGGAAGTTTCCACAATGCTCAAAAATGAAGTTTTGGGAATCAATGCTCCTAAGCAGCCTGCATTTTCAATTAACAAAGATAGAGATAAAGAAAATCAATCTCTTTCCAGAGAGACACTTCTTTCAGCAAATGATGTAACAATTACTCAATTGGTACCTCGATGACAGAGTGGGCATCTGGAAAGGGAATCATATTGTGGAGAGAAAATGTGGTTATTATCTGGTTTCCTTTTGGTTTTTGCTTTATACTTTCCTCCACAAAGAAACAGAAGTTTTCTGCTACTGAAAAATCAGAACAACACAAGCTTGCACTGCCGTTATTTATGTTGCTAATATGGGAATTGGTTGTTTGACTAGTATTAGGAGATATAGAAAGGATATCAACTTTTCAGAGTGAGGTGTATAGAAGCTAAGGAGAACAGGGGAAACTATCTCAGAAAGTATGTCAAAATTTTTGAAGTTTGTGCTGAGTAGGTTTTAGATTGGGAGTGTATTGCACAATGTAATTCATTATAATTCAGTTTCTGTGCAAGGGTTGAAGTACCCTTATACTCACTGAAATATAACATCCTTTTGCTGCTCGAAAAAATTAAGAATGAAAAGAAAGGCTAACAGCTTAAATAGGGTACTCTGAGAACTGTTATTTGTAGTAATGATCTGTTATGGTTATTGCTGTGTCTTTTTCTGCTGTCTTGACCAGGTGTGTTCATCTTTCTTGTGCTGGATAAGGCTGAATGTGAATTGGAAAATATTGGAGGGCGTTTATGCAATAGCAAAAGGCTTCATACTTTCATGATCAAACAAACAGCTTTTTCAGAGCTTTTCAGCAAATTTCTCTTCATAAGGCCTCACCACACCAAGTGCAGAATTGTTTGGTCTCTTTTCATTGCCGGTCAATTAAACAGCATGATTTTTCCCTGTAAATATGGCCTGGTTAAGTTTGTTACTTTTTATGTTACGAAAGTATTTCTTCCTCCTAAGTTCAGTGTAATCATCCATTCACCAGTTCAACTCAAACTTCAAAGACACAACACATACAATGACAGGATAAGACTTGGGGTGCCATCTAGATTCCAATTCTTCCATTTCCATGTTATAGAATCTCATATTTGTTCAGGTATTAACCTGCTAATTAACCATAAAGAATATGCCATTCCTATTGAACCATTGAAGAGAGTAATTCTTTTTATTTGTTTCATTATTTGGGTGGACCATCTTAGGACAGGTTCATTTGAGAACCTGGCCCTTTCTGTTGACAAAGACTATATTTATTAGAATATGACATCCTTCCATCTGTTTCTTGTTGTTTTGGTCAATTTTATAGCGTCCAAGGCCACTTGTCTGCTTTATTTAAGTTACATCCCGCTGTGATCTTGGAGTTCTGTGCTTGTTTTCTCTGAACCTAAAACCTATTCTTTACATCTGGTCGCGGTTTGTTGAGCTATATTTACTTGACTAAAGACATTTCCTACTCTTGTACAGGTGCTATGTGATGACAAATAGTCAAAAACAGAATACATTACTTTGAATGTTCCTATCCTCACACTCAGAAGTTAGAATATCTCCCAAGGAAAGCTGGATGCAATTGGTTAACAAATTTAGATGTTGAGGTTGAACTTTGAGGTTGCGTTCTGAACTGTAAATCAAAGCAACAAACTTCAAAACCCAATTATTTGGGCATCATGTGCTTCATACATAATACATAGAACAGACGTTTTCCTCAGATAGATGTCATTAAGTAGCTAATTTGTTTGCATTTAGGCAAGAATTCTTCACTTTCTCACTTCTTGTATGTCTTGATATCTCCATCTTGATTCCATGTAATAACTTTAATTGGCTGGTGCAGCATAAACTCCACACTTGAAGTGCAAGTCGCCTGGCCCTTTATCATTTGTTTTGTACTTTACAACACCATTGAACACTGTCACCGTTCCTCCATCTACATCATGAATTACATTAACCCGAAACCATTTGTCATAGAGATCGGTATCCACCATGTCTCCACTGTACGTAGTACCTCAGATTCCCGTCATAGATTCTCAGTATCATAGTTGTAGCACCCTTTGCTGCTCCACGGATTTGAACTATTGTAACCCCAGAAGTCCCATTTGACACAAAACCATAGCCTTCAAAATGTCAGAGTCCTGATGAATAGTCAAGACCCTGCAACAAAAAACCAGCTTAATTAGTCAGTACAATTTCAGTGCATGGAAATAGGTAGCATCAGAAAATAAGGTTTTTACTTTTATTCGAATTTCAGTGCATGGCTACGTGTGGCTATTAGGGTCATGAGGTTTGTCATCTGCATATACCCACATCTTATGAACTTTGTTTTCATATATAGCTGTATCGTTCCTCAAGGGGTACATCATATGGCTTCTGCAACTCGAAATTCGCTTCTGTTAGTGGCACAGAGGTGAAGCCATATGTAGGATCGGCTTCGGATTGAGAGAAGTTTCTGAACAAGGTTAGGACACAGAAAAAGAGAAGCATATAGCCAGGAAAACTATCCATGTTATCTATTGGTTAGTGAATGCTATTTCAACCTTGTTCAAAGGTTTAATAGTTTTATGTGCTAGTTTTCCCTTTCTTTATTGTTATCTTTTTATTTTTTGATTATGGTCACACCTTCTTTTGTAGGCTATAGAAAATTCTCGTTTAGAAAACTCCATGTTTTGATCATCATACGTGGCTTCTAAAGGCTGTCCTCCACTCCGCTAAAATCAAACAAGCTACATGGGACGGAAGAAATTCAATGTCTCATTTTCAAAAGTACATGGGACCAACATGAACTTCAAGAAAGGGAGCAGAAGGACCACCTTGAATATCTTTTAAAGTAACAGGACCAAAATGAGAGTAATAGTTTACCATTTCGTCTCCTGAGAGGTAGAGAATCCCTTCTAATAATTTTAGGAAAAATTACAAAATTTTCTCTAAAATTATTGTGTTAAAATAAATTAACGGTAAAGTGGCCATCAGTCCTGACTCCCAAAAAAAATTTGGAGTCCTAACCCAAAACGACGCCGTTTTATTCATCTCAGCCCCTCCCCTTTGCTTTTCCCTCTTTTGCCTTTGCCTCTTCTACAATCATCTCCATCTCTATCTCCGATTCCTTCTCCATCGCCTCTCTTCTCCATCGCCTCTCATCTCCATCGACTCCTCCGTATCCTCCGATTCCACTGCAATTCATCTTCTACGTCGACTGTAACCCCTGCTTTTTTTCACTTCTTCTGCAATCATCTCCATCGGTTCCTCCAATTCCTCCAATTTTTCAAATGGACTCTCTCATACCTAACAATGGGAACCAAAGATGAAATCCCTCTTGCAACTTGACAATCTACTTTCTCAAACAGTCTCCTTCCAGTAAAAGAAAAAAAAACTTTCCTCTTCTCCACCGTCAACACCACACTCAAGCAAGCAAAAATCCCCCTTTCTCCTCCTCGAAGTCTCCCTCTACTACTCTCAAAAACCAGACGGAGACTCCCAAATCAAACTCGAAAATCAACCAAAGACCCCCTCTTTGATCTGATTTTTACCTATATATATATACCCAAATAAAAAAATAAAATAAAAATAAAATAAAATAAAAACTTCTTCCATCAATCACTGATCTTTGCAGCAAAAGTAGAGGACGAAAATGATGCTGATTTTGTCTGGTATGGGCTGTTTTTTTTTGTAGGTGAGGCAAGGACAGGGCTGTAGCAAGCAAGAGTGCAGAGGCGCAGGATTGGGGGCGCAGAGTGCAGAAGGCGCAGCCTCGGGTGCAGCAGGGCGTAGGCTCAGGTGCAGCAGGGCGCAGGCTCAGGTGCAGCAAGTGAGGGGGCGCAGCAGGGCTTGATCGCCTTTGATGGCTGCTGGCTGAAATGAAGGCTCGGGAGGTGAGAGAGAAAAGGCCCAAAGTCAGGGTGAGGAAGAAGACTTTGGCGGGGTAATGGAGATGATTGCAGAAGAGGCAAAGGCAAAAGAGGGAAAGGAAAGCGGAGGGGCTGAGATGAATAAAACGGCGTCGTTTTGGGTTAGGACTCCAAATTTTTTTTGGGAGTCAGGACTGATGGCCACTTTACCGATAAATTAATATCTAAAAAAAAGTTGATATAACTTATTATTTTAAATTCTTATTTTTAATAAATTGACTCAAATTTAATAGTTATTATTAACTTTTTATTAAATTTTAAAAGTATTAGTTTAATATAATTTAATAAAAACTATTAAATTTAAATTGATTTCTTGAAAACAAAAATTTAAAGTAATAAATTTTGTCAATATTTTTTGAGTGGTGATTTGTTTTAACACAATAATTTGAATGAGTAATTTGTATATTCTAGCCATGTTTTTGCCATCTTTGAATATGAATATAGATATTATTGGTAGTTTTTAAAAAGAATGAAAAAAAAAAGGAAAATTCAACTCGTTGAATAATAACAGCTTGATATATTTGACAAATTGATATTTTTAATTTCAGCACGTTTTTATTTTTTTTAGAAAAATAAAAGAAAAAAAGAAAAAGAAAAATTTTCCAAACATTCTGGGAAATTGGGTGTGGAGTCCACGCAAGGCTGGTAACAATGTAACATCATCAAATCTTCCATTGTAGATCAGCTGCACCAAAATTTCCATCAGAAAGTTAAGTGGAAGTGGAACCCAGACATCCACCACACAAAATCTCGTCAAATTAACTCATGACGTCACTTCTTACCATCGAACGGATCTTAACAACATGATCCCATAGGACTGCCCTGTAGCCTCCCGCACCGAATCATATGCTTTCCCAGAACCATACTCTATTCCCATTTTTCGTCGCCAAACACATATTATCACTTCTATCCAAACCAGAGCCGAGCTTAGACGATTCAATCCCGGAAGAATCTGTTCTTCATCTACAATGGCGATTTCGCTCTCCGCTTCAACTATTCCCTCCTTGAATATGCAGAGCAGAGTACCTGTTTATTCTTCGAAATCTTCGCTTTGCTCTCTTCAATTTCCTGCTCAGTTTCGCCGAATTCTGATCGGAAACAGAGGAGTTTCTTCTCCTTCCGGTCGTCGATGTCTTCCTCTGGTGGTAATTTCCCGGTCAAACTTTTCAATTTTTTTTTTTCGTTTCTGATTATGTCATGGAGAAGGAGAAATTTAGCTGTTGATTGAATTGAAGAACTGTTAACTGATTTTTTTTTTTTTTTTGGCGAACTGATATTTTTTAGATCTTTCAACATCGCTTATTGTCTTCGCGGTTTTAAGATTAGATTTTCTTTATTACAGAATTCGCAGAATCGATTTCTAGGAATATAAGCGTCTGTTGCAGAAACTCTATTATTGTTAGAATTTATGAATGTTTCGTTTGTTAATGGTTAGAAACTCATAAGTTAGTGATTCACTAGTTCTTCCATTTATATGGAGCACTCCTGGTGGCCGCCACTGAATGCTCCTTGCTTACATTGGTTTAATCTCCTGAGGGAGTGACTTCTGTAGGTTTCAGTTCAGGAATTTTAGGTTCATCTTATGCTTGTATTTGTTCTTTTGATCTTGATTTTTTTTTTTTTTAAATTTTTGGGCAAATTTTTTTCTATTTTAATGGCATCTGTTTTCTATGTCATTGAGCAGTTGTTGATTTGATTCTCTCTGGATTGTGTTGATGATGTCTTGTATTTTTGTATTTGATGTGTTCCTTTGTAGCTGTTCCATGAAATAATTGACCGGTTTTCCTGTTTAATTACCATAGGTTGAAGCAAAGAAGCAAACCTTTTCATCCTTTGAGGATTTGTTGGCAAATTCTGACAAACCTGTGTTGGTGGACTTCTATGCAACCTGGCAAGTTTGCCTTTCTCTTTTCTGCTTGATGCTCCCATACATTACATGTGAAATATAATTCAGAATGCATATGGTCTCTGATTTTCCTTCCATGTATCCAACACTAGTGGTGTACTAGTGGAACCTGATTTAGGTATTGATTTCAAAGAAACTTTTATGAATATAGTTTTCTTGATGGTAAACCTCATACTAGGAAAACTTTAGGGGCATTTAGATTTTTTTGTCTGGTGATGCATGTTATTTCCTTCCAGTTATCATATTCTGACATCTACAAGAGTAACAAGATGACATCTCACATAAATTGACATCTTATCTAAAAAAAGCATGGCGTTTCACATGCATCCAGACAAATTAAATCCACTATCAATTGAATTAACGGTAAACCATGTGCCTCTATTTACAGGTGTGGTCCTTGTCAGTTCATGGTTCCAATTCTCAATGAAGTCAGTACTATTCTTAAAGACAAAATTCAGGTGGTGAAAATTGACACTGAGAAGTACCCTAGCATTGCTGATAAATTCAGAATCGAGGCATTGCCTACTTTCATCATTTTTAAGGATGGAAAGCCATATGATCGTTTCGTAAGTTGATCTATAGCATCTTTGAGCTTCTATAAACAATTTATTAATTTAATTCTTTTTTCCCTTTCCATATAAACAAATAATTGATACATCAATGTTTATGTTTCAAAATTGCAGTGGTCTTATGTTAGACCTTTTTGAGAGACTGCAAATTTTATATTTTATGCATGCCTACGTATGCATTTCTTTGAGTTTTTGAGAATTATACATTCTTCAAAGGGTTAGAATTACAGGTGGCCCATCCACCGATCAATTTGGGATTCTTTTCTACATTTAGCCTTCTTTTTCTTAGACCTGCTCTAACCTACACATTATTAACATTTAGGAGCACATTTATTTGCTTGGCCTAGGAGGTGTGTTTCATGATATTTTATTTGCTACATTTATGTTTTGCAATTTAAGCCTTCAAGAGACTGCATCTACTATAGTTCTGGTGCCAGATTTACATTTCTTTTCAGAGTAACTTTTATCCTTTCTACGTTGTATTTCTGTAATCTTTCATCTCTTTTTTGAGTTTGAATTTCCTTAACTGTTTTGTTCTGATTACCATTAGGAGGGTGCTTTGACAGTCAACCAGCTCATTGAACGAATTGAAAGCTCCTTGCAAGTCAAGCAATAGATATGGTGAGTCTTTTAACTTATATCATTTCCCCCCCAAATTTAGTAGGTCAACACACTGAGAGAGATACCCATCTAAATAACCTCAATGATTCTGATCTTTATTTCTTTATTTCTTTTTTTGGGTAGGCGATTCTGATCTTTACTGGCGCAGTTCAATATAACCAAGCTGTTCAATTGGAAATCTGAATCTTGTGATGAACTAATGAACGGATAACAACCTACCTTCCACACATCCTTTGTATTTTGTTGATACAGAAACAGTGCAGATGAGTTTTTCCCATGCTGCTTGCGCTTGTGATGATACAGAAAGACATTTTTTCAATGTTATAGACAAATATTATGCCTAGAAGTTGCTTATTAAACAGTCATTCTATTCTCTTCAATTCTCAGATTAGTTATGTATTGTACTAGGCATGATTGATGATATTGGTGTCCTTAGCGATAACTATTATCTGACTATGAGAGTTAATAGCCAAATTGCAAGCATTGTACAATGTTAACGGTATTTTGTTTGCTGATAGCTTAATGATTATTTCAGAAATGTCTGGACGAGTATAAATGTGAAGAATGGTATTCTGAGTCTCTTGTATTTACTGGTTTGAACTGCATAAAACCAGCAGGAAACAGAGATGGTTGGGTGAGGGCGGGCATCTTGATAATAAGAATAAGGGAAATAGTTTTGGGATAATTTTTTTGCATTATTTTTTTGTATAACTTAACGTGTCATTTAAATAATTAATTTTTTTAATTTATGTAAGACTCATAATATTAAATAAATTCATTCATTTAATTATACATAAAAATTATATAAAAATATGATATAAAAAAATTACCTATATAATACAGTTGCCTAAGAATGATTTGTGAAAGTCATTGTACAATTGCAGGTAAAGCGGGTAATATTTTAGAGAGACTATAACCTTTTTGGGTTTTCCACCGATATCCTGGTTTCGCCTCGACTTCTTCAAACTTGACCAACTATGGTGCACCAGAATAATGGGTGAGTTTCCAATGAAAACTGCTGCGTACACAAGAGAGACTAGAACCTTTTATTGGTAATCATTGTGGTTATAATTTGTTTGGGTAGGCTTTTCGGGGTATATATGAGCTGCGACGGTGACAGTCCGTCAGTCTATCTACGGTTGACCCAATCGAATTTTGAACCATGTTGCCGATCTTAGATCGGTTTAAACGATAACAAGCCCGGTTTGTTTCAGTCGTGGCAGAGAACAATGGAGATGGAGATGAGGGCGAGCCAAGACATAGGGCTTGGCCAAGACATAACTCCTCCTCTAGTCCCCTTCTCCTTCTCCCTCTACGATTCCTTCCTCTCTTCCCACTGCTCCTCCTGCTTCTCTCCTCTCCCGCCCTCTCCCTCTCCCTCTCCTCTTACCCCCCATCTCCCCCACTACTGCTCCCCCGCATGCTCTTCCCATGATTCTCACCTCCACCTCTCCACTGCCCATCCTCTCTCCTCCGACTGTCCCGACTATGCCGACCTCCGTACTGCCCTGCGCCTTCTGCACTTCGCCACCTCCGCCTCTTCCCGTTGTTACGACCGGGTTCTGGGCCTACTCACCAACAGGGATAAGTTGATGTCTTCCCCCGAGTTTGCCTGCAAGATTACGAATGGGGCCAGGGTGATCGCGGCCTCCCGGAGATTGCGGGATGTAAGGGTGGGAGAAACCAGTGACTTGTCGCTGGAGGAGGCAGTACTGTGCTTGGTCATAACGAATTCCGTGGAGGTGCAGGATAGTGGAGGGCGTTCCTTAGGGATTGCTGTGTATGGTCCGGGCTTTTCTTGGATCAATCACAGTTGTTCCCCCAATGCTTGTTACCGGTTTCTTATCTTGCCGCCCAATGCTCTGTCGCCTCCTGGGGATTCCAAGTTAAAAATGGTTCCCGGTGTTGCTGGGAACCAAGAACTGCAAGTAACGTCAAATTTTTTTTTTCCTTCAACTTTGTGCATTTTATGTGCATTTTTATTTCTTATATATGTATAGAATGTTGGTATGTTCGATGGGATTCAGAGTTGAGGCGTTGATGATAATGGTTGCAGGGAGAGAGTGGTGTTTGTAGCAGTAGTGGTTACATACAAGGTTATTTATCACTGTTGTTTTCTATTTTCCTTGTATTATGTGTGCTTAATTTTATGCAGAGTGTTGGAGGATAGACAGACATGCTGATTTCTTTTATGTTTGTCAATAATTTAAAGATATGTTGTTAATAATTTGTTGTGATTTTTTGCTACTTATGTAGGGAATGGAGGGTATGGTCCGAGGTTGATTGTTAGGAGCATTAAGAGGATTAAGCAAGGGGAGGATGTGACTGTATCATACACTGATTTGCTGCAACCAAAAGTATGTTGCTTTATCATATACAATGGGTTCTTTGCTGGAAAGAAATTTGTAATTTTGCTAGTCTGTGATATTCTCTGATAAAAGGATGTGTATTTATGGCTTAATTTAATTGCACAATTTAGAAGAGGAGCAAATGATATGGTTAATGCGTAATGTGATTAGCATATGCTAGTGACTATAACATTGTAGATTCCCTCTTGATGTCTAATGAGGGTTGCAAAACTCAGAAACACATGAATTAGGTAAATTGGAATCATCAAAATTTGTGAGGGGTGCTAAATTATCCTTTTGTTGCATAGCTTTGTCAGACTCAAAACTGAAATTTTTATTGGGAAATATAACCATAACTAATCTCATAGTGCGCCTTACATGTAAACATAATCAGATGCCAGAACTAATCTAGCTTTTTTGTTAAGGAATCACAGTGTCAAATATTTCCTATGCTGGTATGAAATATTGAAGGCAATTGGCAGTTCATCTTCTAGTGTAGACCAGGAGAACACCTTGCTTTGTTATTATTAACATTATTGCCCCTTAATTTCATTATTTTATCATGGATCCTTGCAAAATTTTAGGCTATTGAAAAGAATCAGCCTTCTTACAATTCATAAGATTCTATTCCACTCCTATATCTTAGAATGCTGCTAAGTTCCTTATACCTAGAAGGTTAGAATGGTTGATTCTGTTGTTAAGTTTCAAATTTTGGCTTGTAGCTTATGTTTGAATTTCTTATTTTATCTAAATTAGTTGCTACATTCTGATTTTTTCTGCATGCTTTGTCTTATTTTCAGGCAATGAGGCAGTCAGACTTGTGGTCTAAGTATCAATTTTTATGTTCCTGTAGGCGATGTGCTGCATCACCTCCAGCATATGTTGATCGTGCTTTAGAGGTAATTAAAATTTGACACTGCAGAAAATATTTTGTTTTGAGGAAGCGTGTTCTTTTTTTCCACATTATGCCTATTTTCTTTATATAGTCTAGAAGTGTAAACATTATTGTCCTCTCTTTAAATACTCTGTTGCTTAACGTTAAAGCATTCTTGTCATTGATTTTTTTTTACCTTCCTTGAATTCTATAGACAAGTATTTCAAAGAGTTATCAACACTAAGGACCTTTCTTTCTACATTCAGGAAATTTCTGCTTCCAAAATGGAAATTTCAAACTTGAGCTCTGCTGAAAACATTGACAGAGACAAGATAACTAGAAAGTTGACCAATTACATGGACGAAACTATAACCAAGTATCTTTCTGAGGGTGATCCTGAATCTTGCTGTGAGAAGCTTGAGAACGTTCTAAATCTAGGTCTTCCAATTGAGGAGTTAAATTTCAAGTTGCATCCCCTGCACCATCTTGCTCTCAATTCATATACAACACTTGCTTCTGCATACAAAGTCCGTTCAAGTGACTTGTTAGCTCTTATTTTAGAGACTGATAAACATCACATGGAAGCTTTTGACATGAGTAGGGCAAGTGCAGCATACTCCCTTTTGCTTGCTGGCGCAACTCACCATCTATTTTGTTCAGAGTCTTCTCTGATTGCTTCAGCAGCAAATTACTGGGCAAGTGCTGGTGACTCCTTGATAACTCTTGCTAAAAGCTCTTCATGGAATTTGTTTGTAAAGTCAAGGTTGCCTATTTCAGCCCTTTCAAAGCATAAATGCTTCAAGTGCTCATTGGTTGATATCTTTGATGCCAACTTAATACTTAGGCAAGGCAAACCCACAGATTTCAAGAATGTATCTAGTAAGTTTCTTGATTGTATAGCTGACATGAGCCCAAAGATTTGGGGTTTCCTGGTTCATGGCATCCATCACTTAGAAATATTCCAAGATCCCATTGATTTCAGCTGGGTTGGGAACATATCCGGTTTTGAAACTCATATAGATATCGATGATGATTCAAATTTAATGACCAAGGAAAGTAACTCTAGACGTGATGAGGCACAGGAGTATACTAACCAGGGAAGATTGATCCTATACCAGCTGGGTGTTCATTGCTTGCTATATGCAGCATTTTTAGCTGATATTTGTTATGGTCAGAATTCCTACTTAGCTAGCCACATTCTGAACATTCTATGTGATGTACATTGATTTGTTTGACAAATTAAATTCTGGATTGTAGTTGTATGAATTGCTGTACTTTCATAATGTCATCTGCTGCTTTCTTGTTAGCTTATTATTTTTTTCATCTCTGGGGTTTTTTTGGAACTTTTGACGAGGAATAGGCTTGGCAAATGGGTGGGTTGGGTCGGGTTAGGGTTGGGTCAAAACGGGTAACGGGTTAAAATGGGTTGGGTTAAAACGGGTCACGGGTCAATGAAGACAAACCCTAATCCGCCCTTTACGGGTCATGGGGCAACTCGCGGGTTGACCCAATTAATTTTTTTTCTTTTTTTTTTCTCTATAATTTGTACGTATTATCATTCAAAGAAAAATTATTTAAAAGATTTAAAAAAAAATTCAACATCTTATAAAAATAAATTTTGTCATTAATTTAATATATACATATTTATAGTTCTTCAGAATCATTTTCTTTATTTCCCTTCAAAGAATAATGCTAATCAAATTCAGGAACACTACATTTATAAATCTCAATAGCAAAAAAAAAAAAAAAAAAGCAATAGTAGCATGACAACTAAAAAACACAAACCTCATTGGAACGTATTTGTTTTAATCATTGCTTTCAAAGAATAATCAATTGAATGCATCTAAGTAAGCAAAGGAAAAAATCAAGTAAAATTTTTACTTAGAATGGAAAGAAAACTAAAAAGCATAAATAAGTAAACAACTTACCTTGAAGTCTTTAGAGAGAAAAGTTGATGATAAAAAGAGCACTTGCCGGACTCATAAGAGAAAAAAAAAAGGGCTGAGCGGATGCAACAGTGACTTAATAAAACTAAGATCTAAGTCTGAGATAATGTTAAAGACTAAAAAGAAAAGGTGGAGTCGAAACTTGAAAGTCAAAAACTGTATGGACTATGAAGGTTGAAGAATATGAGAAGAGTTTAAAGTTTGAAGAGTTAGAGTTTTCGAGAGTATTAGGGCAAGCAAGAATAGGAAAGGTCAAGAGGTGAGTTATGAGTGGAGTGGGATTACTTTTGTTTCTAGAAGATGATGAGTCAAGAGAATCAATTAGTTAATTAGGGTATATTAGTCAATTATTAGAGGTTTAGGTGGGATTGAGAATTGGAAAACAAAATAAATAAATAATAAATTAAAAAAGTTTAAAAGTTTAGACGGGTAAACGGGTCAAACCCGTAAACCCGATGGTCAACCCGTTATTGACCCGTGACCCGTCGGGTTCTCTTAATGGGTTATTAATGGGTCACGGGTCATAAATATATGACTCTAACCTATTTTAAACGGGCAGGTAATGGGCGGGTTAACGGGTTGGGTAAAAAATTGCCATGTCTAACGAGGAACATGAGCTTTATTCAACCGAAATTTGAATTACTAACTTCCACATTTTAGTTTTCTTAGGGTATTCTTTACTGTTGACATTTTAGTTTTCTTAGGGTTTTTTTTTTTTCAGGGTATTGACATTGGTTAAATGTTAAATTTGGTCTCTCAACTTAAAGAAATGCACATTTTGATCCCTCAATAATTTTTTGCACTTTTTTGATCCCTCAACTCTAAGAAATGCACACCGTTAGTCCTTCTGTTAATTTGATCCGTTAATTTCGCCCGTGTGGCATTATATATATATTTTTTGATGATGTGGAGAGCAAAATTTAAAAAAGTGATGATATGGGCCATGTCATGTTCCCGTGACTAAAAATCGCCAAATCCACTCAAATGGTTCCCACATTACCTGCCAAAGCACCAATAAAAAAAGATGTCTTTTGATGACATGGCAAATTACATGACATTTTTTATATTTTTTTAATGAT